CAAATAGGATCAATAAGCTGATCAAAGAGGCTGGCTCTGTGATCGGCTTTACCCCACACTCTCTGGAAGTCACCTTTGAGAAGAGAACGAGGACAACACTAAAAATCTTTTCATAAAATATCTGACATATCCAAGGGTTCATTTTGAAATGCTAAGTACTGTATAGTGGAATATATGATATTGAATAACTGATTGTGTAGTTTTTGTATTACAGGGAAGAGGTGATGGAAACCAGTCAGTGTAGTGTTTGAGTGTGTGTCCTCAGTGAAGTGTGTCAGTCTCTGCAGAAGCTTCTGCTGCAGCAGTCAGTCTGGTTTCTGTTCAGGCTGACTGAGGGAGGTTTTTGTACGACGCTTTTTCACTGTGTGAACACCAACTCACTGTTGAATGAAATGTACACTCTGACAGTAGTAAACTGCTGCGTCTTCAGTCTGGACTCCACTGATGGTCAGAGTGAAGTCAGAGTTTGATCCACTGCCTGTAAAACATCTGAAGTCCCTGATTCTCGAGTGCTACCTAAGTAAATCAGCAGTTTAGGAGTTCCTCCATCTTTCTGTTGGTACCAGGCTAAAAAGGGTTCGTCGTCGTCCGGTAGTAACTACATCCTCACTGGTCCTACATGAGACAGTGACAGAGGCTCCCAGAGCAGATCTCACTGCTGCAGACTGAGTCACTGTGACCTGTCCTCTGGACTCTTGAGGAGACAGAGACAAACACATGAAGCAGCATCAGGGTTGTGTGGCTTCATTTTCAGAGAGACGGATGTTCATAGAGGAGAGGAGTTTGATTGTCTGGACTTTACCTGTGAAGCAGCAGCAGAGGAGGAGAGTCCAGATGAGGACGCAGATCAAAGTCATGTTTTTGGATGAGGAGGAGGAGGAGGATTTCTGTGTCTCCTGTTGTGATGAAGGACAGCTGTCAGTCCTGCAGTGTTCAACTCTCAGGACTTTAAACTCTCCCCGAGCACTGGAGCATGCTGCTGCTCATGCAAAGTGTCTTTATGGAAATGCTCTGACTAACTGGGGACTTGGATTATACTAATTATAAAGTTAATTTTTTTAAGTTTCAATAAGACATGTTTTTAAAACCGTCTTCATGCTTCTGGAGAAATCCCCGGAATAAATGTCTTAATTTTGAATATTAATGGAAATGTATTCTTTATACTTTTCAGTTCATTTGAAGGTTTTGCAGACAAGAGCATTTTTTTTACTTTCTTTAGTGAGAGGTTTTTGTACGGCGACTCAGTGAGTTTGCATCACTGTGGTACACATTTGGTGGAGGAACCAGACTGGATGTTGGAAGTAAGTCAAATATTAACCCTTTGTATGTCAAGAGATTATTTTATTTTGAAATGGAAGACTGAAAATGACTGACCCAAAACATTTGTGTGCATGTTTTTCTCTGTATTTAGACTAAAAACAAATTTTTAATGAAACACAAAATCGTATCAAAATAAATGTCAAATCTGAAGCCAGAGTCATCATTTGTTCCAGAGTAAATGAGTGTTATCATTGTAAAGGTGAAGTTGCATCTTGAGGGCTGGTAGTTTGAGTACGATGTGTTGAAGTCAGAGAGCCGTGTCTCTGTGCAGTGAGAGGTTTTTGTACGGCGACTCAGTGACTTTGTATCACTGTGGTGGACTTTTGGTGGAGGAACCAGACTGGATGTCGGAGGTAAGTTTCTGTTATTCTAAACAGTGTAATGTAATCGTGATTTTTTTTTTTTTCATTTACAATATAAAGAAACATTTATACATTTTTACATTATATTTTTTTCCTGTTTGTGTTTGTCCTCCTGTACCATCTCAGGACAGATCGTTTACATTCAGTTCAGCAGCTTCAGATTCATAAAAAATAATTCTCTGGTTTCAGATATCTATTCCACATCAACGATAACTCTTAAAGGCCCTTTTTCATTTTGTCATTTTGAATAAATTGCTCAAAGGGAAGTTGTAAGAATTTTGAAAGAAAATGTTCAAAATCTCTGATCTCTTTCTGCAGATTATGTCACTTAAGATTTTTTTTTGGCCTTTTATGATTTAAAACATGTTTTATTGATAGATTTGGTTCATGTTTGCACTCAACAGTTAGACAAATAGGTATTTCAAAGGTTTGAGTGATTTGATGATTTTTCAGCGTTTTTATTTTAAGTCCAGTGTATTCTGGTCTCTCTGTACGATGATCGTCTCTGTGTTGATTTGCATGACAGATTTCTGAGAGGGAAGTGAAACAATGTGTGAGTGACTGCTGAAGCAGAAAAAAACATCTGACAGAAACTCCTTAAAGGAGAAACTCTGCTTTCAACTGCAAAGGTGTCCAGGAGTGATGTGTTTGACTGACAGCTGTGTGGTTCCTGTCCTCTGTTCTGATTGGTGTCTCCTAGGTGAAGCCCGTCCCACCTTGATGGTTCTGCCCCCTTCCAATGAGGAGCTGCAGCAGGGGAAGGCCACGCTCGTGTGCCTGGCCAACAAGGGCTTCCCCTCAGACTGGAGTCTGGCCTGGAAGGTGGACGGCATCAGCGGCGGCAGCTGGGAGGAGAGCAGGGGCCCTGCGGTGATGGAGCAGGACGCTCGTTACAGCTGGAGCAGCACCCTGAGGCTCTCTGCAGGCCAGTGGACGAAGGTGGGCTCTGTGACCTGTGAGGCCACCCAGGGCTCCCAGACGCTGGTCTCAGAGACACTGAGGAGGGACCAGTGTTCCCAGGACTGAGCTGTATCACCTGGACTCTGCTGCTGGTTTCCCCTGCTGTTGTTTCACTTTCTGAAACTGCCTCAGTTTACACGCTAAATGCCTTCTTTCCCTCTCTATGATTTTATGTTTCAACGTTAATTTTCTCGCCTTTTTATTGACAGTTTTTCTTAAAATGAGCAAAAGAATAAAAATGGAATCAAACAGTGTTTGTTGTGCATATCTTTCATTTCTTAACAGGTTAACAATTTTTGAACGGACTTTGGTAAGTTCACCTAAAGAATAAAAAAACAAAATAGCAATGGAAGACTTCCAAATAATCTTATATCATCAAAATCTGCTGTTGAAGATGGTGAAATGTCTCAATCTGATGACTGATGTGTTGAATTGTTAAATCTCTGAAAATAATGAAGGTGGGTAAGAAATGTGTTACAAATAAAACGGATGATATCATCAGCATAAAGTGATAAAACATTGCTTCTGGCATTTTGTTCAATGCCTGCTCTGTGGTTGTCAAAATTAGATTTAAATACATAAATTAAAATCATGAGAACACACATTGTGGAAAGTTTATTCAAAGGCTTTTTAGGGTTAGGGTTAAGACTGTTCTGCATATTCTGTTGGGATGTCAAAAGAAAACGATTTAATACTTAACTCATAAAAAGAGATATTTATCAATTAAAACAATTCAAATGTTTTTTAATTATTGACAGTAGTAAACTCCTTCTTTTACCTGTGGGTGCTTTGGGTGCTCTGCTTTTCTTGGATATAATTAGTAGGACTCTTATGGAAACAAGTTTGGAACCAGACTAACCTTTCCTCTGCAGGGCACCAGTTTAGCTCAGTTGATAGAGCAGGCGCTGTATTTTATATATTTGTGGCGACAGTAGCTCAGTCTGTAGGGACCTTGTTTGGGAACCTGAGGGTCGCTGGTTTAAGTCCCTGTACACATCAAAGTATGGAAGCTGCCAGGTCCCAGGTCACTCTCCGAGTGCTATAGAGGTGTCCTAGAGCAAGACACTGAACCCCCAACAGCTCTGTTGTGCTCCCTGTGTCGCAGTGTGTAGCAGCCCCACTGACATCTCTCCAGGTCCTGATTGTGTTAGTGTGCACAGACATCATGTCCACAAGTTTTCAGATGTTACTGCTCTCGTGCACCTACTTACCCAAGGCAACAATCTGACCAACAAAAACAGAGATTGAATTTTTAGTCAGCTGGTGTGATGCATATTGAATGTTGGAAAGTATTATTGATTTTAGAAGAAAGAAAGATGATGTTTCCCCTCATAGCAGATCCAAACTGTCCAGTTTCATAAAAATGTCGATGTCTTCATGGACAGTAAATTAAATTGGAAAATGGACACTGATGTGTCTTTAAAGAAGGCTCAGTCAAGTCTCTTAAGGAAGCTTAGATCCTCTGACATTAGCAAGAACCTTCTGTATGTTTTGTATCTTGGCTAGTGTCCTCTTTTATTCTGTTCTGTGCTGGGGGGGGCAGCTTCTGTTTGGATGATACAAATAAGATCAATAACCTGATCAAAGAGGCTGGCTCTGTGATCGGCTTTACCCCACACTCTCTTGAAGTCACCTTTGAGAAGAGAACGAGGACAACACTAAAAATCTTTTCATAAATATCTGACATATGCCAAGGGTTCATTTTGAAATGCTAAGTACTGTATAGTGGAAATATATGATATTGAATAACTGATTGTGTAGTTTTTGTATTACAGGGAAGAGGTGATGGAAACCAGTCAGTGTAGTGTTTGAGTGTGTGTCCTCAGTGAAGTGTGTCAGTCTCTGCAGAAGCTTCCTGCTGCAGCAGTCAGTCTGGTTTCTGTTCAGGCTGACTGAGGGAGGTTTTTGTACGACGCTTTTTCACTGTGTGAACACCAACTGACTGTTGATATAGTGATAACTCTGACAGTAGTAAACTGCTGCGTCTTCAGTCTGGACTCCACTGATGGTCAGAGTGAAGTCAGAGTTTGATCCACTGCCTGTAAAACGACTTGAAGTCCCCGATACTCGAGTGCTACCATAGTAAATCAGCAGTTTAGGAGTTCCTCCATCTTTCTGTTGGTACCAGGCTAACAAGGGTTCGTCGTCGCGTAGTATCTACATCCTCACTGGTCCTACATGAGACAGTGACGGAGGCTCCCAGAGCAGATCTCACTGCTGCAGACTGAGTCACTGTGACCTGTCCTCTGGACTCTGAGGAGACAGAGACAAACACATGAAGCAGCATCAGGGTTGTGTGGGCTTCATTTCAGAGAGACGGATGTTCATAGAGGAGAGGAGTTTGATTGTCTGGACTTTACCTGTGAAGCAGCAGCAGAGGAGGAGAGTCCAGATGAGGACGCAGATCAAAGTCATGTTTTTGGATGAGGAGGAGGAGGATTTCTGTGTCTCCTGTTGTGATGAAGGACAGCTGTCAGTCCTCCAGTGTTCAACTCTCAGGACTTTAAACTCTCCCCGAGCACTGGAGCATGCTGCTGCTCATGCAAAGTGGCTCTTTATGGAAATGATGGATTTCAATCACTCAATGAGCTGATCTGATGATGAGTCTTTCAAGTATTTTAAAAGTTTTCTGAAAAGTATTTCAGTAGCTTTAACAATTATTTTTCCACAAGTTTCAGTTTTTCATATACACAATTCAAACAACATTTAAACTATTCTTTAAAACCTGAAAAAGTATTTTGCCAACTTTTTTTGTGTTGCTTGTGTTTGCCCTTTCTCAAGGATTAAAAATGTTTTTTTAATGAGAACAATTTTGAAAGTGGATACAACATATACAAAGACTTATCACAGAATTACAGCAAAATTCTGAATTTGTATTTTGCAGACCAAACTTCACTGCATCTAAAGTCTGAAACAAGTAGCTCATAACGTCTTGTTTTAAGTAGTGAAACGTGTCTGTTGTCACGGTTAAGCAGTGGTGCCTGTCTGTTGAACGGTTACTGAGCTAAGAGAGGGAAGTGAAATGTTTCAGACCAGTTTCATCTTCTCTGAAGAAGACTGACAGATGCAGTCGTGTCCTCGGCTGCCACTTACGAGAAAAAGGGTATTTGACCTCCCTTAATCGTCATTGATCTCTCTCTCTCTCTCTTTGCAGTGCTGCTCCACTCCAGTGTGCATCGGACTCAAACATTTGAGTCCAGTGTGCATCGGACTCAAACATTTGAGTCCAGTGTACATCAGACATTTGAGTCGGATACAGCCTGATTTGCAGAGTGTAAGCCTGGCCTAAACAGAAAAAAGTCATTTGGGAGATTTGGTTTTCCATCTAGCAACACAAAAGTGTCAGCATGACGTATTTAGTCATGTGACTTCCTGCAATGTGACAATTGTACTAAGAACCAAATGCACAAATCCAAACACACTTAGAGAAGATACAAAGTCTGTTTAATCAGAGGGAGGTCAGTACACGGGAATCTAAATCACAAGCAGAGGTAATCAAAACGTTGGGCAACAGGCAGGTCAGAAAATACAGAAAAAGGTCGGAATAATAATCGGAAAAATACACAATGAAAGCTGGAACGTTGTCATGAGGGAAAGAAGAACTGGCATAGAAGGAGGGAAACACAGAGACTAAATACTCAAGGGGAGCGAAGACAACTAGACACAGGTGAGACACATCAGGTAATCACAGACGCAGGAGACACAGGTGAGAGTAGAAGAAGCAAAGGATCTGAAACGAGATGCAGGGTAAGTGTCAAAAACACAAGATGTAAAAACATGAGAGTAACTGAAACCACACACTATCCTGGAGATGTGTCATAACCAAGGGGCAACCTCCGGTCTGGAAAAATGAAGCCTATGCGGAAGTACAAAAAACTGCAGTTCCTCGAGGTCCTCTTAGGCTGGCTGCAGAAGCGCCGGAAGTGCCATAAGAGCCACAGCCAAAAAAGCGAGATATATCTGAGAAGTTGGACGGCCCCTTCTCCTCACACTGTGGGGGGGGGGGGGGGGGGTGAATGTTTTATAACTCATCGGATTTTATTCTATTAAGGAAAACGACTATGCCATATTAGGGTTGTGGCAGATTTGATTGACAGCTCTGCGCGGTCAGCAGGTCAGGAGGCTAACAGCTTGATCCGTCTGATTTCTCCTCTTTCTTACTTCGTTTGGAGAGTTTGTTTAACACATATCTGACAACATACATGCTTGCTGTGCGGTTAACAGACCATCCAACAAGTTGATGCTCAGTTTTCTTCGTAAGTGATATAGTAGTTATATTTACTGCTTACTCATGTTTTATATTTACGGACCTAGCTTGTTTAGAGTTAGCTTGTAAACCAGTCGGCTAACTGTGTAGCTCATTATTTACATTATTTACATTATTTACATTATTTACAGTCAATGGTTAGAAATGTTTGTTAAGATGTTTGTTGTTGAAAATAATGAGTTTGTGTGATGTTAGAGCTAAAGGTTCATTCTCGGTGGTTATCTGACGTTATGATGAATGTTATACTCCACCTAAATGTGGACATTAAAAAAGAAACTTTGTGTAGTAATTATCCGTCAGTAACATAAACTGAACTGAACCTAATGTGCTGTGTAGGTTATAGAGGATGACATAAAGTTACATGGTTGATGTAGTGTCTTAAGATTTAGCAAACTGGTTGATGTAGTGTCTTAAGATTTGAGCAAACTGTTAACAAAAATCACTTTGTAAGAGCATCTGTAACCATTAAGAACTATATTAATAACCAGATTAATTTTCACTGAACTCATACACAGAATATAGCTGTAGAAATATAAAATATAAATAACATGGAATGAAAATAAGATATAAAGCACATAGATATAAAGTATAAGAAATAGTTTGAAGAATACAGCCATGTACTGAGCTCATGTTAATAATAAATGAGTTACTGTATGTTCTGTACTAAAGCACAGAGAGTTGGGACCTGTTAATGATTTAAATAATTCAGGTTATATTTGTTTCATGTTAAGATGAAGTACTATCCACAATAAACTGCTTAATTTTTCCTCACCCAAATCTGAGACAATTTGATGTGGAA